GTTAGTCCTGGTTTAGTCCTGGTTTAGTCCTGGTTTAGTCCTGGTTTAGTCCTGGTTTAGTCCTGGTTTAGTCCTGGTTTAGTCCTGGTTTAGTCCTGGTTCAGTCCTGGTTTAGACCTGGTTTAGTCCCTGGTTAGTCCTGGTTTAGTTCTGGTTTAGTCCCGGTTAGTCCTGGTTTAGTCCTGGTTTAGTCCTGGTTTAGTCCTGGTTTAGTCCTGGTTTAAGTCCTGGTTTTAGTCCTGGTTTAGTCCTGGTTCAGTCCTGGTTTAGTCCTGGTTTAGTCCTGGTTTAGTCCTGGTTTAGACCTGGTTTAGTCCTGGTTTAGTCCTGGTTTAGTCCTGGTTTAGACCTGGTTCAGTCCTGGTTTAGTCCTGGTTTAGACCTGGTTTAGTCCTGGTTTAGTCCTGGTTTAGTCCTGGTTTAGTCCTGGTTTAGACCTGGTTTAGTCCTGGTTTAGTCCTGGTTTAGACCTGGTTTAGACCTGGTTTAGTCCTGGTTTCAGTCCTGGTTCAGTCCTGGTTCAGTCCTGGTTCAGTCCTGGTTTAGACCTGGTTTAGACCTGGTTTAGTCCATATACGGCGCAGAAGTTTGGTGTTTTCTTAATAAATAACACATTACAGTTTTGAAGTAACTTGCCCAACAGTGAAGATCGTTTTGGTACCAGAATCGGTTTTGAGTATCGAGTCTATTCCTCAGTATCGATATCGAGTGACATCTGGAGTATCGCGACCGCACTCGTCGAGCCTCAGAGCCTCAGCGTGGTTCGGGGTAATCGCCGTAATGACTGAGATCTATTCGTCGTCCGTATTGACCGTCATCGATCGGCGCCGCTCGTCTTCGGACTCACGATCCTCGAGTGTTTTTTTTCTTATATCTGAAGAGGGGGGCGGGGCTTACGAGCGCGGACGCACAAAGGGGCTGATGGGAAAAATATCGATCAGGAATTTGATGAAGTCTTGATTTCAGATGGAGGGCAGCGGCCTGGGCAACTCGACGGGAGATTTACTGCGTTTGGGGAAAAAAAAATCTGCAAACTCCTGATCCGCAAATGTTAAACCTGATCAGGATTTGTTCAAAACTGACTCCGTGTTAATGTTAAGGTTTAAAAAAAATAAAAAAATATCTGACAACACTCACGTCTTTGGAGTAAAAAAACTGCGGTGCCTCAGGTGAATCAACAGGAAGTCAAAGAAAAACTCAGTGTGTTTTTGGTAAAAATTTTAGGTCTAAATTCACTTCATGAGTTAAAAAAAAAAACAACTCACAGCCCAGGTACTTGGTTTAGACCTGGTTTAGACCTGGTTTAGACTGGTTTAGACCTGATTCAGTCCTGGTTTATACTTGGTTTAGACCTGGTTTAGATCTGGTTTAGTCCTGGTTTAGACCTGGTTTAGATCTGGTTTAGACCTGGTTTAGATCTGGTTTAGTCCTGGTTTAGATCTGGTTTAGACCTGGTTTAGATCTGGTTTACTGGTTTAGATCCTGGTTTAGATCTGGTTTTCCTGGTTTAGACCTGGTTTAGATCTGGTTTAGTCCTGGTTTAGATCTGGTTTACTGGTTTAGTCCTGGTTTAGATCTGGTTTAGTTTAGATCTGGTTTAGATCTGGTTTAGATCTGGTTTTCCTGGTTTAGATCTGGTTTAGATCTGGTTTATGGTTTAGTCCTGGTTTAGTCCTGGTTTAGATCTGGTTTAGTCCTGGTTTAGATCTGGTTTAGACCTGGTTTAGATCTGGTTTAGCTGGTTTATGGTTTAGTCCTGGTTTAGATCTGGTTTAGTCTTGGTTTAGATCTGGTTTAGTCTGGTTTAGACCTGGTTTAGATCTGGTTTAGATCTGGTTTAGATCTGGTTTAGTCCTGGTTTAGGTCTGGTTTAGACCTGGTTTAGATCTGGTTTAGTCCTGGTTTAGGTCTGGTTTAGTCCTGGTTTAGATCTGGTTTAGTCCTGGTTTAGTTTTAAAAATGAATGTTCTTTATTTAGGGACAAAATAACAAAATAAAAATGGCAGGTCTGGGAGCCGCGGTTACGGACGGAGACGAGATGGTTTTTCAGTAAAAGTGAATTGGAGCCAGAGCAGAAAATGACCACTCTGTGACATCACAAGGTGGAACAGAGCATTCTGAGTGTTAGAGATGTAGACAGACTCAAACATGTACGAATGAAACAAAACACAACTCCAGGTCTGTTTTTCAGGAGATAAAACCTTTTTGTGTAATAGAGAAGCTTTCCTCCAGACTCCAGACGTGGTGGTTTTTTGGGGCTGTGGGCACATGGACGGGGCAGAGGCAGCGGCTCTCAGTTGTTTTGATTCTGTGTGTCGCTCTGGTGCAGATATTACAGAGTCTTTACACAACACACAGGCTGTAAATGTGCCCGGGCACACGGAGCATCGATCTGATCCATCACACAGACATTATGATTATTGGCACGTCATAAAAGCAGCTCTGGCCTCGTGCACTCAATTATACCAGTGCATCAATGGGAGCGCGCACGTGAGGGTGTGCACGTGAGGTGCGCGTGAGAGTGTGCACGTGAGGGTGTGCACGTGAGGGCGTGCACGTGAGGGTGTGCACGTGAGGTGTGCACGTGAGGGTGTGCACGTGAGAGCGCGCACGTGAGGGTGTGCATGAGAGAGAGTGCATGTGGTCTAAACCAGATCTAAACCAGATCTAAACCAGGTCTAAACCAGATCTAAACCAGGTCTAAACCAGGACTAAACCAGATCTAAACCAGATCTAAACCAGGTCTAAACCAGATCTAAACCAGATCTAAACCAGGTCTAAACCAGATTTAAACCAGGTCTAAACCAGATCTAAACCAGGTCTAAACCAGATCTAAACCAGGTCTAAACCAGGACTAAACCAGATCTAAACCAGGTCTAAACCAGATCTATACCAGATCTAAACCAGGTCTAAACCAGGTCTAAACCAGGACTAAACCAGGTCTAAACCAGGACTAAACCAGGTCTAAACCAGATCTAAACCAGGTCTAAACCAGATCTAAACCAGATCTAAACCAGGTCTAAACCAGATCTAAACCAGGTCTAAACCAGGACTAAACCAGGTCTAAACCAGGTCTAAACCAGATCTAAACCAGGTCTAAACCAGGACTAAACCAGATCTAAACCAGATCTAAACCAGGTAAACCACAGACTAAACCAGGTCTAAACCTAAACCAGGTCTAAACCAGATCTAAACAGGTCTAAACCAGGATCTAAACCAGGTCTAAACCAGGTCTAAACCAGATCTAAACAGGTCTAAACCAGATCTATACCAGATCTAAACCAGGTCTAAACCAGGTCTAAACCAGGACTAAACCAGGTCTAAACCAGGACTAAACCAGGTCTAATCCAGGTCTAAACCAGGACTAAACCAGGTCTAAACCAGGACTAAACCAGATCTAAACCAGGTCTAAACCAGATCTAAACCAGATCTAAACCAGGTCTAAACCAGGTCTAAACCAGGACTAAACCAGGTCTAAACCAGGTCTAAACCAGGACTAAACAGGACTAAACCAGGACTAAACCAGGTCTAAACCAGGTCTAAACCAGGACTAAACCAGGTCTAAACCAGGTCTAAACCAGACTAAACCAGATCTAAACCAGGTCTAAACCAGGACTAAACCAGGACTAAACCAGGTCTAAACCAGGTCTAAACCAGGTCTAAACCAGGTCTAAACCAGGTCTAAACCAGGACTAAACCAGGACTAAACCAGGTCTAAACCAGGACTAAACCAGGACTAAACCAGATCTAAACCAGATCTAAACCAGGTCTAAACCAGGACTAAACCAGGTCTAAACCAGATCTAAACCAGATCTAAACCAGGTCTAAACCAGATCTAAACCAGGTCTAAACCAGATCTAAACAGGTCTAAACCAGATCTAAACCAGATCTAAACCAGGTCTAAACCAGGTAAACCAGGTCTAAACCAGGTCTAAACCAGGACTAAACCAGGTCTAAACCAGGTCTAAACCAGGACTAAACCAGGACTAAACCAGATCTAAACCAGGTCTAAACCAGATCTAAACCAGATCTAAACCAGAGTCTAAACCAGGACTAAACCAGGTCTAAACCAGGTCTAAACCAGGACTAAACCAGGACTAAACCAGGTCTAAACCAGGACTAAACCAGGACTAAACCAGATCTAAACCAGATCTAAACCAGGACTAAACCAGATCTACACCAGGTCTAAACCAGGACTAAACCAGGACTAAACCAGGTCTAAACCAGTCTAAACCAGGACTAAACCAGGACTAAACCAAACCAGGTCTAAACCAGGTAAACCAGGTCTAAACCAGGACTAAACCAGGACTAAACCAGGTCTAAACCAGGACTAAACCAGGACTAAACCAGATCTAAACCAGATCTAAACCAGGTCTAAACCAGGACTAAACTAAACCAGTCTAAACCAGATCTAAACCAGGACTAAACCAGATCTAAACCAGATCTAAACCAGGTCTAAACCAGGACTAAACCAGGTCTAAACCAGGTCTAAACCAGATCTAAACAGGTCTAAACCAGATCTAAATCAGCTCTAAACCAGGTCTAAACCAGGTCTAAACCAGGTCTAAACCAGGACTAAACCAGGACTAAACCAGATCTAAACCAGATCTAAACCAGGACTAAACCAGGACTAAACCAGGTCTAATCCAGGTCTAAACCAGGTCTAAACCAGGTCTAAACCAGGACTAAACCAGGTAAACAGGTCTAAACCAGGAACTAAACCAGGTCTAAACCAGATCTAAACCAGGTCTAAACCAGGTCTAAACCAGGTCTAGTTCTTGTAGAAAATGACCTTTCCCCACACAGCTCCTTAAGTCCAGGTCTTTTTCCTGTCAGTGTTGTTACTCCAGCAGTTGAAGTCTGTGCCTGATGTAAACTGGGCCCAGTGCTGTTTTACATATTTCCAGAACAACAATAAAATTCACATCCCACTTCTGTCTCAATCTGTATTCAAATCCTGTCAGTATTTTTCGGTGGTGCGTTTTTGCGTTGGTACTCACACGTGTCGGTCTTGAGCAGACTGTTGGTGCTCCTGAAGTACTGCGGGTTCTCGATCACGGGGATCTTGGTCATTCCGATGATGACGGCGTCCGGTCCCATCTCGGACGAGGACGGCGTGTTGCTGCCGTTGGACACGTGGTGGAGCGGCGAGGCGGAGTCGTCGTCGTTACTGATCACAGAAGAAGGACCTGGAACAAAACACAGGACACGGATAAAGTTAGTTTATAATACTCCCTACAACTGTACAAAAAAATAAATTCACGCTTATGTAAGGGATAATACTCCCTACAACTGTACAAGTCACTTGTATGTAACAGATAATACTCCCTACAACAGTACAACAACTCACTCTTATGTAACAGATAATACTCCCTACAACTGTAAAAACATTTGCGCTTATGTAACAGTTAATACTCCCTACAACTGTACAAGTCACCTGTATGTAACAGATAATACTCCCTACAACAGTACAACAACTCACTCTTATGTAACAGATAATACTCCCTACAACTGTAAAAACATTTGCGCTATGTAACAGATAATACTCCCTACAACTGTACAACAACCACTCTTATGTAACAGATAATACTCCCTACAACAGTACAACAACTCACTCTTATGTAACAGATAATACTCCCTACAACTGTAAAAACATTTGCGCTTATGTAACAGATAATACTCCTACTACTTATGTAACAGATAATACTCCCTACAACTACAACAACTCACTCTTATGTAACAGATAATACTCCCTACAACTGTAAAAACATTTGCGCTATGTAACAGATAATACTCCCTACAACTGTACAACAACTCACCTTTATGTAACAGATAATACTCCCTACAACTGTACAACAACTTACTCTTATGTAATATAATACTCCCTACAACTGTACAACAACTCACCCTTTTGTAATATAATACTCCCTACAACTGTACAATAACACACACTTATGTGACAGATAATACTCCCTACAACTGCACAACAACTCACTCTTATGTAACAGATAATATTCCCTACAACTGTAAAAAACATTCGCACTTATGTAACAGATAATACTCCCTACAACTGTGCAACAACTCACCCTTATGTAATATAATACTCCCTACAACTGTAAAAAACATTCGCACTTATGTAACAGATAATACTCCCTACAACTGTGCAACAACTCACCCTTATGTAATATAATACTCCCTACAACACCCAACCGTAAAGTTACATATTCCACTTCTGTAAAAACATGTTGTTATTTCCCGGTCGTGTCGTTCATTTGCACACGTCGCTCTCGGGGTTAAAGCTCAGCGCCGCGAGCAGGTACCCGGGGTCTTTGCACACGGCCCCATAAACCTCGGAGCCGCGTGCACATTAAACCCGCCCACACGAGGGGCCGCGGAAGGAGAGACATTCACTTTGACGAGCACAAGCTTCTTCAGACAAAGGAATGTTTGGAGAAATACATATGAAGAGAAGAAGAAGAAGAAGAGAGAGGAGGAAGAGGAGGAGGAGGAGATTTTGATTGATTTGTTTTTGTAAATATTGTAAATAATCACATTAATTAATTATAATAATAGTGAACCTAAGTAAAAATAATTTTGACGGACACAATGAAGGTCTGTTAAAAATTAAAGAAAGAGAAGAAGGAGAAGGAAAAAGAGGAGGAGGAGAAGGAGGAGGAGGAGAAGAAAGAGGAGAAGTGGGAGAAGAAAGAGAAGAAGGAGGAGAAGGAAGAGGAGAAGAAGGAGAAGGAAAGAGGAGAAGAAGGAGAAGAAAGAGGAGAAGGAGGAGGAGAAAGAGAAGAAGGAGGAGAAGGAAGAGAGAAGAAGGAGAAGTGGGAGAAGAAAGAGGAGAAGTGGGAGAAGAAAGAGGAGAAGAAAGAGAAAAAGAGGAGAAGAAGGAGAAGAAAGAGGAGAAGGAGGAGGAGAAAGAGAAGAAGGAGGAGAAGGAAGAGGAGAAGAAAGAGGAGAAGAAGGAGAAAAAAGAGGGGAAGTGGGAGAAGAAAGAGGAGAAGAAAGAGAAGAAGAAAGAGAAAAAGAGGAGAAGAAAGAGGAGAAGGAGGAGGGGAAGGAGAAGAAAGAGAAGGAGGAGAGAAAGAGGAGAAGAAGGAGAAGAAAGAGGAGAAGAGGAGAAGAAAGAGGAGAAGGAAGAGGAGAAGAAGGAGAAGAAAGAGGAGAAGAAAGAGGAGAAGAAAGAGAAGAAAAAGGAGAAGAAGGAGAAGAAAGAGAGAAGGAGAGGAAAGAGAAAGGAGGAGAAGAGAGGAGAAGAAAGAGAAGGAGAAGAAGGAGAAGGAAGAGGAGAAGAAAGAGGAGAAGAAGGAGAAGAAGAGGAGAAGTGGGAGAAGAAAGAGGAGAAGAAAGAGAAGAAGAAGAGAAAAAGAGGAGAAGAAGGAGGAGAAGGAGAAGAAAGAGAAGGAGGAGGAGAAAGAGGAGAAGAAGGAGAAGAAAGAGAAGAAGAAAGAGAAAAAGAGGAGAAGAAGGAGAAGAAGGAGAAGAAAGAGGAGAAGAAGGAGAAGAAAAAGGAGAGGAGGAGAAGAAGGAAGAGGAGAAGAAGAAGAAGGAGGAGGAGAAGAAAAAGAAGGAGAAGTAGAAGGAAGAGAAGAAGCAGGGGAACCTAACCTTTTACCTTGAGTTCAGTAGAGACGGGGCAGAGTTTTTGAAATATGGAAAGACACAGTGGAGCACTTCCTGTACGTACGTGACATCACGAGGTGGAAGGAGCGATTTCGGTTCGAGAGAAGAACTCAGCCTGAATCTGCAGGGTTTGTGCGTTAAACACGTGTGAATGAAACAAAACACAAGTCCGGGTCTGTTTGCGACGAGGAAACGGCTTCGCGACGGATCAGAAAACGGCGTAACAAGTGACCATTTCATTTTCGGTCATTTTTAAAGCTGCTGACCGCGATGTCGGGCCCGTCCAAACCTCAGGCGCGCACCTCCTCACCTCGAACAATCACACAAACATAAACCACGGAGTAACAGCTGCAAACAGGCTCCTGCTCTTAACACGGTTTATAACGATCCGACCTTTGACCTCTGCCCGCTAATGTCCCCGGCCCCTCCCCCTCCACGACACGACCACACTAACAAACTACACACGACGACTGGGGCCATCTTATTTCTTCTTATTTATTTGTAAAGAAACAGACTTATATTACTATTTAAAATGTAAATATGTAAAGATTATAGTCGGTATGAGCAAGTCTTAGGGTCAAAATGTGATCTGTGTTTAATTATAAAGGGTTTTAATGTGGTTTAATGTTGTATTATGGAACATTTCAGGCAGAAACAAGCAGGTGATGGACCTCCAATCAAAAAGTTACACAGTGTATCTTTAACCCGTATGATTATAATGACAGCTTATACTAAACACATGATAAGATTTATTTACACAGTCTTAAAAATTGACTCAAATTTTTAAGGCTGCATAATTTTTTTTTTAATGTTATAAAGTAAAATATGTTCGCTCCATTATAAATCAATGGGATGAGCAAGTCTTAGGGTCAAAATGTGGTCTAATTATAAAGGGTTTTAATGTGGTTTAATGTTGTATTGTGGAATATTTCAGGCAAAAACAAGCAGGCGATGGACCCTCAATCAAAAAGTTTCATTGCGCATCTTTAACCCATAAGATTATAATGGCAGCTTATACTAAACACATGATAAAATTTATTTACACAGTCTTAAAAATTGACTCAAATTTTTAAGGCTGCATAATTTTTTTTTTCATGTTATAAAGTAAAATATGTTCGCTCCATTATAAATCAACGGGATGAGCAAGTCTTAGGGTCACAATGTGATCTAATTATAAAGGGTTTTAATGTTGTGTTGTGGAATATTTCAGGCAGAAACAAGCAGGTGATGGAACCTCAATCAAAAAGTTTCATTGTGCATCTTTAACCCATAAGATTATAATGGCATCTTATACTAAACACATGATAAAGTTTATTTACACAGTCTTATAAATTTACTCAAATTTATAAGGCTGCATAATTTTTTTTTTCATGTAATAAAGTAAAATATGTTTGCCCCATTATAAATTAACGAGATGAGCAAGTCTTAGGGTCAAAATGTGGTCTAATTATAAAGGGTTTTAATGTGGTTTAATGTTGTATTGTGGAATATTTCAGGCAGAAACAAGCAGGTGATGGAGCCCCGATCAAAAAGTTTCATTGTGCATCTTTAACCCATATGATTATAATGGCAGCTTATACTAAACACATGATAAAATTTATTTACACAGTCTTAAAAATTGACTCAAATTTTTAAGGCTGCATAATTTTTTTTTTCATGTAATAAAGTAAAATATGTTTGCCCCATTATAAATCAACGGGATGAGCAAGTCTTAGGGTCAAAATGTGGTCTAATTATAAAGGGTTTTAATGTGGTTTAATGTTGTATTGTGGAATATTTCAGGCAAAAACAAGCAGGCGATGGACCCTCAATCAAAAAGTTTCATTGTGCATCTTTAACCCATAAGATTATAATGGCATCTTATACTAAACACATGATAAGGTTTATTTACACAGTCTTATAAATTTACTCAAATTTATAAGGCTGCATAATTTTTTTTTTCATGTAATAAAGTAAATATGTTTGCTCCAGTATAAATCAACGGTATGAGCAAGTCTTAGGATTAAAATGTGGTCTGTGTTTAATTATAAAGGGTTTTAATGTGGTTTAATGTTGTATTGTCGAACCTTTCAGGGAGAAACAAGCAGGTGATGGAGCCCCAATCAAAAAGTTGCACAGTGCATCTTTAACCCATATGATTATAATGGCATCTTATACTAAACACATGATAAGATTCAACATTTGCAGATCATAAGTTTGGAAATTTCTTTAAAAAAAAACAACAAAAAAGAAAAAAAGTGAAGTAAATTTTCCATGGAGATTCAGCTGAACTTGAACTCGACCTATTACTGATATTTTCCACATTTCCACAGTCCATAAACACAACACACAAAAGTGGATTCCATTTTCCGAAGAGCTTTTTTTTTTTTTTTATTGTCCAGGTTTTCACTTTTCCACTTTCGCCGTTTCTGAAGCAAACATGCACAAAAGGTTCACAGTCACATTTGAAAAGGTGAATACTTTTGCGATACCACGTTTTTTGGGGGGAATTACCTACAGAATTCAGTCGCTTACAACTAAACTCTGGTATTTTAAACTTGTATGAGGTTAGAGATGGAGG